TTTGTGGTACGCGGGCCTCTCACTGTTGTGGCCTCTCCCATTGTGGAGCACGGGCTCTGGATGCGCAGGCTCAGCAGCCATGGCTCACGGGCCCAGCCGCTCCGTGGCATGTGGGATCTTCCCAGACCAGGGCACGAACCCGTGTCCCCTGCATCGGCAGGCGGACTCCCAACCACTGCGCCACCAGGGAAGCCTGCAAATGATTTTTAAATGGATATTTAGAACACATTAGGGTGAGTGTTATGTTTAGAGCTTGGATATTCTTACTGAAGATTATTCAGTTTAAGATTCATCAGCACACACAATCTCTGGGAAATGTGTGTCCTCAACAAGAACCTGCTTGGGCATCCTTTCCTTATACTTAGGAAGAAAAATCCGGTCTGGGGCATCCGGGTCCCAGAGAGGCACCTCCTCTGTGGTTCACAGGGAGACCACTCAGTTCCTGGGTTCAAATCTTCCCTCAGTCACTTTTTCACTGTGAGATCTTGGCAAGTTACTTAGCTTTTCTGTGCCTCAGTTTCTTCCTCAGTAATTTGGGGATAATAGTCTCCTCATAAATTTGCTGGAGGATTAAACCAGTTTATGTAAAGCTCTGGAACAGTTTATGAGGGGCACGTAGTAAATCTTCAATAGACATGAACAATGATTATTATTGATGTTGGAAAGCTCTCACTCTTTCTAAAGATTTGGCATGAATCAATGTCTTTTGAGTACACTCAGACTTTGCAGCAGAGCGAATCATTTTCAGTGAACAGTCAAAATTATTTAGATAAAGTAACTTCTCTTCAATGCCCTGGCATCAATTGTTCAAAAATAAAATAAAAAGACAAAGGGGAAAAATTCCTGGCAAAGAGACAAGTTTTGAGAATTGTTTTAAAGCAGTCATTGTATTCAGGTGGCTTACTATAAACAGGGAGGGAGGTAAGGAGGAAATCAGAGCCCATTGTGGGTCCAGAAAATGGATGTCTTTTCAACTAAACAGATTGCTATCAGCCTCACAGAGCCGACTCATGTTCCTTTTTGCCTGGTCATTTCCTTTACTGAGTGTCTGTAAGAACCACCCACTCGGGTGTTTCTCAGGATTATAGGTTTTTTAGGTCAAACAGAAACCCTGGGAGCGCCCAACGCAGCCCCACACACGCGGTTACATTATGCACCGGCTGGGTGACATCGACCCTGCCGCTGTGGTGTGTCCTGGAAGCTGTTGTGCCTGATTTGCAGAGATTCTCTCAGAGTGTGGCCAGCGGCGACCAGCAGCACAGGGTAAGAGCTTGGCTCTGAAATCCTGAAGCCTTCCTGGTGGGCTGAAGGCTACACGTGGGAATCCCTCCATTCATTTCAGAAGCTGAACCAGTGGGCCCTGCTCGCTCGCATCCTTTGTCATCCTCGGCCCCCATGATGGACGAGACACGGGAGCCTCTGGCCATGACTGTCCACCTCCTGGCCAACTCCGGGCATGGCTCGCTTCTGCAGCAAACCCTGGACCAGCTCCTGGACTGCATTTGCCCAGAGGTCCGTGTCTTTCTGGTGTCTGAGCGGGTCAGTCCAGGGAAATACTATGACAAATGCCACTCCAAGCGGTCCCGCTTCCCGGGGATGTCTGTTCTGCTCTTCCTGCACGAAAGCCTCGGAGAGGAGCGGCTGTTTCGCGTCCTTGACTCCCTACATCATTGGCCGTGGCAGTGCTACCCCACCCAGAATGCGCAGGGAAGACCGTGCCCCTATATTCTTGCCAATCAGGAATTCTATAGTCTGGACAACCAGATGCCCATCTGGGGCGTGAGGCAGGTGCACTGTGGCACCGAGATCCTGAGAGTGACGCTCTACTGCAGTTTTGGTAACTACGAGGATGCCATCAGGCTCTATGAGATGATCCTGCAGAGGGAAGCCACTTTGCAGAAGAGCAGCTTCTGTTTCTTCGCGCTCTACTCCACCGAGAGCTTTGCCCTGCAGCTCTCCCTGAAGCGGCTGCCCCCTGGGGTGTCGGTGGACCCCAAAGAGGCTTCAGTGTTGCAGTTCAAGGTTCAAGAGATTGGCCAGTTAGTGCCTCTGCTACCCCATCCGTGTGTCCCCATCAGCCATACCCGGTGGCAAACACAGGACTATGACGGCAACAAGATTCTACTTCAGGTATTTCTGTCTGGTCTCCATGGTCTTTAGATGCACATGTAACTGTGTGATGTGACATCCAAGAGATGATTTAATATCGTGCTTCTCAACCTTGGTTGCACACCAAAATCTCTGGGGAGTTTTCAAACGTTCCCATGCCATGGCTGCACCCCAGGTCAGTTAGATTAGAATCTTTGGGGGCACACTGGCTTGGGTAATGCTTTTAAAAACTCCTCGGATGATTCTAATATGTAGCCTGTAACGTGGTTGAGAGGCACTGATTTAATAAAATCCCTTCCTCTGACAGATAAGGAAGTTCAGATTCTGTGAGCTGGTAACTTGCACAAGTAGTTTGCAGTAGAATCAGGCAACACCCTCCTTCTCAGATTTTCCTTCAATCATGCTACTCAACTATACACAAATACTTTGCCCACTCTTTGGGTCCAGAAATATCATTAGTTCTTTCCATCTGGACCTAAGGAAGCTGAAGCTGTAATTATGGTTGGGGATGTTAAGTATGCCGTCCTATTGACTTAATTTTTAAGCATCTTGCATCACTGTCAAATTTTACCCCAAATAAAGTTATATAGTTAGAACCCTTCAAAATAAAACCTTAAAATTAAAGCCTTCTTCTGTAGGCATCCTATTGAAAGCAAACATAATCGTGATAGCTACCATGTGTCATTTCCTATGAAGGATTATGTGGCAGTTGAACCTTGCTGTTTAGTGGCTGTGTGATTTTTGAGCCTTGGGTTCTTCATTAGCACAATGAGGGTAATTTTAGCATCTTCCTAGAGTACAGGTTGTTATCTATGCTAAATGACCTGACATTTATAAAGTACCTTATTGCCTAGAATGCAATTTTAGCTGTTATTGTTCATATTATGCCCTAGAGTATGTATTTCACATTGATTGTTTTATTTAGTCCTTCTTACAACATAGGAAGTTTTGCAGAAGGGAAAATTGAGGGGTAGAGGGAATAGTTACTTTTGCCCAAGACACAAGAGGAAGTGTTTACGTGGCTCCAAAGCCAGGCAGCTAACCACCGCAGTCCAGTGCTGTGTGCATGTGTGTGTGTAAGTGTGTGCAGGCAGGGAGGTGTACGTGATATTCACAGCAAAATTTCCGTCCTTGAGAAATGATCAGTAACCCTCTTAAGGCCTATTGGATAAAGTAAGAACAGGCTAGATGATGAATTATCTTTCCTTTTGATTAATTTTGTTGTCATCAGCTTTGAGTTATTAATAAAACATGAGTCATATTGATAGTGTATGTGATGTTCTCTAAATTATTTACCTTCTCGTTCACATAAGGTGGACAGGCACAGTTTCTCTTAGCTGTCTGTTACATAACTCACTAATTTCCAAGGCATCTAAAGTTTTTCCTTCAGCCTTAGTTAATCTCCAGAATCTAAGCCTCACTGTCAAGCAAAAATTTAATATGTGTGTGCAGCAGGGGACACATTTCTGTTTCAAAGGCTAACTGACATTTTAACTTCTGAACCACGGCTTATACAACTTAGTTCCTTTGGAAAGTTAAGTCAAATTTTGGGAGTGAAGAATAGTTTTTTGGATAAAGATGTCAATGAGTTTAGGCTTTTGCCAACAAAACGGGTGATTTTCTTCTGGAAACTTTTGTTCTGGTGTCATATAAAAGTCCCTGAAGAAAGCATATACAAAGGCTCGGCTATAATACACTATAAAAGATAATACCTTGTAGCTACTCCTATAATGGGGTGAATTTTTCCGGATAGAAAACCCAGCCCAAACTTCCTTGGGGGCAGAGAGGATGGGGGGGCAAATGAACTGGCTTTTGTAGGTAAGTAGCCTGAGTCTTGAGGCTTAGGAGCTGACTCCCAGCTCTGCCACTTCCTCAGACGGGCCCTTGTGGTCACCAGCTGGCTGCCAGCAGCTCTGAGGACTACCCTTTTGAGTTCCTCACCCTACAATGGTCCGACAGAACTTCTGGACTTCACGTCAATTGGACCAACTTGGATCCGATTCTCTTCTCTAAATCAATCATTGCATTCAGGGGAATGGGATTAGGTGGATTAGCTTAGTACTGAGGCAAAGGCTCTACTACCCTGCATCCTGAGATTTTTTGTGGACTCAGACTCTCTTGGCACTCATGGAGGCGGGGGACAAGGGTCCCCAAGGAAGATCAGTGAGGGGACAAATGCTGGGTGGCAAAAATGACTAATGTCCACCAGCGAAAGAAACTAGTATCTATTTAAGGGAGAGCTTTAATCACAAGTTAACTTCCCCATGTGTAACCCCTCCAGGATGGACGTGTGTGTGAGGTGGGGGGGAAAGGGGGGGATGTTAGACCCAATAAGGGTGATGGGCAAAGCTTCCCTGAGAGGTGATGCCTGGGCCTGGCTGAGCTGGATGGCCCAGAAGGAGGTAGCTAGATGGGGAAGGGAGGAAAGTGTTCCAAACAGAGGAGATGGCGGGTGACAATGTGTGGAATAGGATTTCCTTAGCAGCCATGTTCAGAAAAGCGCCTGTGGTTCCATGTGGCTGGAGAGAAGGGAGGGGGTCGGGCGGGGGAGGATGGGCAGGTGGGCAGAGGCCACATCATCAGGCACGTGGTCAGCCACTGGAGGTAAGCACCACGATGACAGGGACTTTGTCGGTCCACTCTTTTTTTTCTGTAATTTTAAAATTTTACTTTATTTACTTTTTTATACAGTAGGTTCTTATTAGTCACCAGTTTTATACACATCAGTGTATACATGTCAATCCCAATCTCCCAATTCATCACACCCCCACCCCCAACCCCCTGTGTCTTTCCCCCCTTGGTGTCCATACATTTGTTCTCTACATCTATGTCTCAACTTCTGCCCTGCAAACTGGTTCATCTGTACCATTTTTCTAGGTTCCACATACATGCGTTAATATACGATATTTGTTTTCCTCTTTCTGACTTACTTCACTCTGTATGACAGTCTCTAGATCCACCCACGTCTCAACAAATGACCCAATTTCATTCCTTTTCACGGCTGAGTAATATTCCATTGTATATATGTACCACATGTATATATGTACCATTCGTCTGTCGATGGACATTTAGGTTGCTTCCATGACCTGGCTATTGTAAATAGTGCTGCAATGAACATTGGGGTGCATGTGTCTTTTTCAATTATGGTTTTCTCCGGGTATATGCCCAGTACTGGGATTGCTGGGTCATATGGTAACTCTATTTTAATTTTTTAAGGAACCCCCATACTGTTCTCCATAGTGGCTGTACCAATTTACATTCCCACCAACAGTGCAAGAGGGTTCCCTTTTCTCCACATCCTCTCCAGCCTTTGTTGTTTGTAGATTTTCTGATGATGCCCATTCTAACCGGTGTGAGGTGATACCTCATTGTAGTTTTGATTTGCATTTCTCTAATAATTAGTGATGTTCAGCAGATTTTCATGTGCATCTTGGCCATCTGTATGTCCTCTTTGGAGAAATGTCTATTTAGGTCTTCTGTCCATTTTTGGATTGGGGTGTTTGTTTCTTTAATATTGAGCTGCATGAACTGTTTATATATTCGGTCAACTCTTATACTCCCAGTACCTAGAACAGCATCTGGCACATGGTAGGCAAATCCATTCTAGTGTGAATGAGCAAAAACTTTGCCAATTAGCTTCTATCTTATTCTGACTGTAATCAGCAGTCACTGACAGAGCCACTGAATGGTACTGACATGTACAATTTGCATTATGAGGATCAAAAAGGAGAGTATACATGGAGGTGCTTTGTAAAGTAGAAACTGTAGCACAATTATTGTCTGTGTAAGAAGGCTGCTAGCTGTCTCTCCATGTCTTTTCCCACATAACCTCCTGTCAGCGCACACTGTCTGATGCTTCTTAGGATGTGTATTTTTGATGAGATTGATATTAGGGTACCTAGTAGATGCTCAGTAATGAATGAGTGTCTGAATACATAAGCAGGTATGTCAAATGTTTATTCATCCACCAAGTGTTTATTAAATGCATACCTTGGGCTACCCTATTCTCCACTTGGCAGTTTTCATTCTGCTGTCTCAGTCCTTAGTGGATGCCTCTTTGGTTTGGCGTCTGACATAAATTTGGGGAAATTCTCAGTCATTATTGTTTCAAACACTTCTTCTATTCCATTCTCTTTCTCATTATTTGTCTACCACTCCTGTTTTAGTTGTCCCATAGTCTTTAGATAGTCTGTTCTGGGTTTTTTTTTTTTCCAGGCTGTTTTTTTTCTCTCTGCTTTTCTTTTTCAAGGATTCTATTGATATGTCCTCTAGCTCAGAGATTCTTTCCTCATCTGTGTTTAGTCTGCAAATAAGCCCATCAAAAGCATTCTTTATTTCTGTTACAGTGTTGTTGTTTTTTTATCTTTTTGGTTCTTCTTTTAGGATTTCCATCTCTCTTTTCACATTGCCATCTGCTCTTGCATGCCGTTTACTTTATCCATTAGAGTCCTTAGCATATTAATCAGAGTTTTAAATTACAGGTCTGATAATTACAACATCCCTGCCATGTCTGCTTCTGATACTTGCTCTGTCTCTTCAAATTGTGCTTTTTACCTTTTGCAATGCCTTGTAAATTTTTCTTGCTAGCCAGGCATGATGTAGCAGGTATAGGAACTGCTGCAAATAAGCCTTTATTAATGTGGTAGTAAGGAGTTGGGGGAGGGGAAGCATTCTATAATTAGGTCTCCGTCCTAGTGAGTCTATGCCTTGAACTGTGAATTTCGCAAGTGTTTAATTTTTTTCTCCTCCTTGCTTAGATGGGCGAGAATGGCTAGAGTGGGCTGGAGTTGAGTACTTCCCTTCTCTCACATAGAAGGCTAGAGATAGCTGGAGTTCGGTATTTCTCTTCACCCAGGTCATTTAGGCTCTGATAATACGCCAGCATGTTAGGCTCTGGTTAACTAGTTTCCCCTGAGAGAAGGACTTTTAAGAACAGAGTGCTCTGGAGTATTTAAAAATGGTCCCTTTTCACCTAGAGATTATCATACTAAGTGAAGTAAGTCAGAGAAAGACAGATATCA